TCTGATTAGGGCAGCTAGCTACTCACAATCTTCCAGCGTTTGCCACGCGCTGTATCGCAAGGTTTTAAATATTTACCACTCATCCCTCCATTTCCGTGTCAGAATTATTATCACGCGCTGTTACAGTTTTGTTTTTATCGCAAAAACCATAATGGTAGTCATCAGTGCTGTCGTTAACATTACATCTGATTTGTAATGAATTGGACTGGTAGCATTGCATTTTGCTGAATGGGAATGGAGACCGCGCAGTCCTTGTGCAGAGAGTATCCCAAGCCGGAAAGAGGGTTGTGTTTAGGAATGCTCTGCTAAGTGTCCTGACATTGAGGTCACTTATCAGTACAGGGGACACTGTTGTCAGCAAGTTGACCGAGCCTTCAGCAGGTTTGGAAGATTTTATACTCCTTATGCCTTTAGTAATGAAACTCCCAAGCGAGATAAAGCCAGATAATAAGAGCCTCAGATAATATTAAAATTCTTGACTGTGTTAGAATCCTAATAATAATAATTAGAGTACCTTGGATTTATGTCGCAGCATTCATCCTGAAGGATCTCAAAGGGGAGAGAACTCACTTCACCCACCACAGAAGTGAAGCACCAGACCTGGGTGACACACAGCACCCCTCTGCACTAGCAGCTGCACTGCACAGTAGGTCAGGTGAATGAGCGAGAAACTGCTTCCCCAGCTGAATTATGGGGAAACTTCAGCTAAATCAGTTCATACAAGTGCAGAGTGGAATTAAGGTTGGACATCCGGGTTTTAACACCTTCTGCTCTTGCAAACGGAGCCTCGGGAACTCTGATGACTTAAGTGCTCAGGACCTCCGTTTAGCGGTTTGAGCAACTGAACTGCCGACAGTGTTGAATTTTGTGTTTATTCGTGAGTAATATTATCATCAAAGCAAAACCAGTAAGATAATGATGATGAAATTGGCCTTTATAAAATAGATAAAGCCGATCGTAACAGTGAAAACGCATACTACAGCGGAGCCTGTTCAGGTCTGTTTTTTTTATGTTTTATGGCTTAAACAGCATTAATGAAGCTGTCACAAATCACAACTGATGAGCAGGTACATGTAGCACCTGTAGTACATGTAGCAAATGGACAGAAGTCTTGTGATATCTACAGTAGCACAGCTCTGTCAGTAGGACAGCTCTACAGGTCTGATTGACTTGTGTTGTTCCAACAGTTCCGGATTTATACCATCATTCAGTGACCACTGCCTGCAGTCAAGAAGGGTCAGGTAGTGAATACAGTAATCTACTTTTCCGATGTGCTGTAGTTCTACAGTAAGTCCCACATCTTATGGATCTTCTGAGCTGGCAGGTCTGTATTGGTGACACTAATGACCTTTACTTTCTCTTGTGCAAGGAGGTGTAGCTATCCTGCAGGGCCTCTCCTCCTACAGAGCTGAGACAGTGTCTCATTAGATGGGTTTGAGCAGACCTTCCAGGTGCTGATTTGCCTCTAAGACCATCTTGCTTGTTGGTGGCGGCCGGAGCCTTGCTGAACGAAACCAGCCTGGGCAGAGCTTCCCCGGGCACTGGGAGCCAGAAACACCGGTTCAGATTGGTGTTCGATTGAAAATGTTGGGAAACGCTGCAGCGGAGATCTGAGTTGCCCAGCTTTCTCCTTCTGTGTCGTTCTACTGTATGTGGCAGCATTTCTGGATAAGAATTTGAAGTTGCTTTTGCATTTCCCACAAGTCGGATTTCGTTCTTTGGGCTTCCATGCTGTACACCAGAGCTGAATATGTTCTCTTCTAAGTCAAAATGGGAGCATTGTTCAGTGGGAATGGTTGTCATATGAGCAGTCAGATGAGGTATGAAATAGGGTGGTTGCCATCACAGGAGGGGAAACATCACAGCTATGTCTTTCCAGAATTACCTTTCTGCCCTGTTTGTCCTGATTGAAATTCACATTAAACACACAGAAATGATGTACTTCTAAATTTGACGTAACACTTTTGTAAGAGGAATTAAAATAGTGCAGTTTAGGAATGCTGTAGGTTTGGTAGGGGGCAGTGTAGTTAATATGTGTAGAAATATTTTTCAAGTGCCTGAATATCCACTTTGGCCGTATTCAAGGCTTCCTGCAAACTATTAGATGTTAAACTTATGTTGTTGTGCTTAACAAAAGGAGCTTGGGACTTTAATGTGTGGTTTCCAAGTCATTTTGAAGTAAGTGTTGATCTCATTAGGATTTTTTTTTTCAATTTACAGAATTCTAAGATTCACATCATATTTCAGTTTTACTCTAGGATTTCTTAACCAAGGATTCTAGCCAAAGGGCACCTCGTTTACCCAAATAGGGATACCGTACACCACCAGCACACTGATGGGGTCTCATTGTTCATTAAGAGGTCCTTTAGAGATGAGGTGATTCACCTGGGAACTGTATAGTTAGTAATATTACTTTAATTTTCTGAAACAATTCTAACTTATCTCTTTTCTCTCCTCTAAACTGTATCTGTCAGATCCTATGTCAGGTCTGCACTGAAAAACTGGAATAATGTCCTGAACAATCAGGGGCCTGAAATTAATCTAGCCTGCGTAGTTTCTGCTGTTAACCATTAAGTTTCAGTCAAGTGGCTACTTCTCTGTGTGTGGCTCGTGAGTCTGAAATCAGGGCTTAATGGTGGATTAAAGGATAAAAGCTTTTAACAGTCGACAAATTGACCACCTTAACCACAGCAAATGACTAAATCCCAGAAACATTAGCAACAGCTAGTAAAAGAGTGGCCTCTGTGCTTTACCATTTGGAGTGTTTTATTTATTGTTTAGGTTTAGGAGAGTTAACAGATTTAAATTCTATAAACTGGAAAAAGATAAAGTTAAAGATAACTGGAAACAAGGTGACATATGTAGCTTTTTGTGTGGTGTGTCCTTCACTTGTGAATATAAGTATGGTAAGCAGCAATTAAACTGTTCAGTAGACACTGGGACATCAGGACCATGCTGTGTAAGAGAGATTAGCCGTAATAAGAACATCACATTAGTGGAAGGAGTTACTCATCACTAAGTGTTTTTCATGTGTGGGAAGAGGTTATACATTTTGTAAAACTTTTTACATTTGCATTAATGTATCTATAAAAGGTGAACAGTGCAATTAGTTCTTCCCTTTTTTTAATAGATAAATAAATCTCTAAAGAAAGTTGCAGTATTTTATAAAAATTTCTCGATTCCATTTGAGAAATTATTTTTACACTTTTTATAATAGCCTCTGAATGTTCTCTGATGAAAAGTTGTCAACATGCCATTGTCAATTTCTTTCCAATCTGTTTGTAACAGTGTTTGACAGACTCCTCTGTAAATACAGAGCTCTGCAGCCGATCAGAAGTCCTGACAGGCACTTTACAGAGAACATGTGGTGTCTCCTCTCTGACATTAACACTCCCTGTCTGACCTTGGTGTAGGCTTTTCCTTAAAAGCCATTTATGGGGATTATCAGATGGAAGCTGAGTATTTCACAGTATTCTCTGTATCTTAATCACCTGTAAAGTTCATCAGCTTTGTTTCTAAATTCTTATTATGTATTATTTATTTTTCATAACATTTCCTAACTACATAAGCATCTCGCAATCACCTAGCAATCAGTTCTAATTTGCACCCTACAGTATGTTATTACATAAAAAGCCTAGATTGAGTGGTTGGTATCTAAAAGAAATACAACCTACCCTATTTGAGAATTGCATATCAAGAGTTTTCTGTGCTGCCTTTTAAAACTGATTCACCCATAATTAAACAGTATTCTGTAATATCTCTAGAAATACAGTTATTGAGAGTCTGATGATTTTTTTCATTTCCAAGTGGCAGTGAAAATGAGAGACATGCCTCTCATTTATGTTTGCATTCTTTCCCTCTGCAATAGTATACAGTGTAGTCTGGAACTACAGTATCCGGCGTTTGTAAAAGTGCAGGATTGACAATGTTTCTCAGTAGTATGTAAGAAACAGCTAGCTCACCGACATCCACACACATGTCAACACTACACAAAGCGATCAAACCTTTCTAGCAATATAGTTTTTAAAATGTACAGAAAGGTCTAGGCAACTTCAGTCTTGCTGTTCCTTTTGGAATGAGTGATTGAGTTTTCCTTTGCAAGGGCTTAGAGGGTTTAATTTCTGTCCAAACAGCCTGTGTTGTGTTCACAGTGTTTGGAAGCCTGTGGCTCTGGTGGGGCAGTGTCCTTTGACACAGCTGTGCGAGTTCACGGAGGGACCAGGGTGGACGTAATCTTTCGGTTAGCCAAAACAAGCCGACCCTCAGCAGAAACCACAAAATTAACTTTTTTTTCTGCTGCTTTATTTTTAAAATAAAGGTTCAGGTTGTTTGCCTTGCGCCTACCCTGTCTGTCATGGGGTCACCCTGAACAGGGAGTGCTGTGCTTTTCTTAGCCCCAGAACAGCCCCGCCACTGCATAACTGCCCTCTGTAGGGAGGAGGGAAAGACTTTGCCCAGATGCTCCTACGCAGTATTTTCACTCATCCAGCACGCATGCATGAAAATATAAGAATGCAAAGTCCAGAAACACAGCAGGTCTGTTGAACCTTTTAGACAGAGCCTGATACCATTGCTTTGTTCACCGCCTTGATGTTCTGCCATTACAGTGCATTTTGCAGTTCCCAGGTAGGAAGGTGTTAAAGTAAGTGGAAATAAAATGACACAATTGTTTTGTTTTGTTTTTTAAACTATTGCACCCAGGATGTTCAAGGTGGGTGTTATTATTAGCATTCCTAAAGAAGAAAAAACAGAATTCTCTTTGTGATTCCCTGTCTTAATGGCATTTAAAATTGGTGTCTCAATTAGTTGTCCAACCCAAGGGGTCAGCACTCAAGTCTCTTTGCTTGGTGCCATCATCAGGTTAACCTTGAAACAAGAGGGTAGACTAAACACATGCTACATTAACCAGGGCTTAAACAAAATGAAACAGTTGTGCCTCAAAAAAACCTATGCGCTATTTATTTATCATGGGGAAATGAGAACAGGAGAGCGCAGAGGGCTGATAATATAAGGTTTCTTATTTTTATTTCTTGGTTAGCTCTGTTTGTCTGCGGCACGGTCTGTTAATCCTGCAGATGGGGTTTTTCGGATGAGGTATCCTGGGAGGACGACGGTCCGACACACTCTTCTGAAAGGCGATTCCACCGGTTGGGATTATTTGCACGTTTAGCGCTTGTCAAGGTCAGAGTGGAGATGCCAGAGGTTTCCATTCTTTTGTAGGGCCTCCCCTCTGCGCTGCAGATTTGGCTTGTCAAACATGTGAGGTGACCCTGGCAGGATGTGGGGCATCTCGCACGTGGCACAAGGGGGCCCCGGGCAGCTGGAGATAAGCGAGAAAGAGAAAAAAACTCGAGTTCATGACACGCAAGAGAACAAACCTTAACTTATCTGCGAGAGTCGCTATCCTTATTCTTCAAAGCAAAGTTTGACAAGCCTTCAGATTCTTTTAGAGTGCTCTGTATCTCCACATGCACATAATGGGTATCTCCTGAGCAGTGTGTGGTTTGTTCACTTGGCCTTTTAGTTGTGTTAGGCGGCAATTATCTGCTGGAGAAATCAACACAGGCTATAAAGCACAAATCAGAGGCGTCCTTTTGTAGATCCCTGACATTTTGGGATTCTCTGTATCCTGGTTTTACAGTTCGAAGTCGACTTTGCAAATGTATCTTTGTAAGTGCCATAATTACTGTTGATGCTATGAAACCAAGCGATAACCACGTTTCCATTTTTATTTTTTTAAACCAGATTAGGTATTATAGGAGGTTTGGTGACAGCTTTGCTCGACAGTTAAAGATGTTCTTTGCTGCTCGTTCTCAGTCCTAACAGTCCAGTGAGGAGTAAATGATCTGAAAGTCTCCTACAGTATAGTAAGGAGAGCTGGAGTAGCCCTGAAGTTCCCTAATGGTGAATAAGGGAGACAGAAAATGGGCTAGTGGACAGTACACTGGGTGCCAAAGCTCTTGAAATGACAGGTCTGTTTTGCATCACAGATTTTGTTTCCATTTCCTCCCTTTGGCTGACCTTGAATACCGTGTTAAGAGCTGGAACAGTGTATTTTGTTCAGGAAGCGCATTATTTTTCTTTTGCCTGTCTTTAGTGTTTGCCTGGAGTGTGAAGCTGGCCATTGGGGACTATTTAAACAACAGCCTGAATATCCTATATAAATCACAAAGATATGCTTTTCCTACTTTTTTGTATTTTTTTTCGAAGAATATGTAATCTCCTTTTGCTGCTTCCTGGTTTAAAATCACTAGTGCTAATGAAAATGATAACAACTTTAAAGGAATCGTTTTTTCACGCTACGCCTACTAATACTATACTGCTGTTTTCCTGCTCTATCCTGTCCTCTGCATCTGCATAGAGTAACCATTTGGCCTGAAGTAGTACTCTTATTCTTATTACAAGGTTAAAATACATAATACATAAGAGGTGTTGTAAATAATGTAGAATGAAAAAAAATCCCTTTTTGTTTCTTGAAAAGAATAGAGGTGTTAACCCTGGTGTCCTGGCCAATTTTCCCCCAGGCCTGTTCAATTCATGGCCTCCTAATAATCCTCATCTATGAACTGGCTGCATCATTTCCACTGATAGCTGGTGTGTGGTGAGCGTCCTTGTACGTTTTGGCTGCCGTCGCATCATCCAGGTGGGTGCTACACATCTGTGGTGGTGTAAGGTAGTCCCCATTAAATTGCTTTGAGTGGAGTGTCCAGGAAAAGCGCTGTATGAGAGTGAGGATTATTAGTAATAATAATAATAATAATAATAATAATAATAATAATAATAATAATAATAATAATTGTGTCAGATTGTGACATTTTTTAAAACCATTTCAAAGGGGAGTCCTGTGGGAGTGGAGAGCAGGGGCAGCCAGCCTGCAGAATAGAGTGTGTGGGGGCTATCAGGCCGGGTGTGCATCTGGTCCAGCAGATAAGTTGTTCTTCAGGAAGTTATTGCACATGATGAGTTCCTTACAGCCCAAGTGGTCTAAGGGTTATAGGTCATCAGGAAGTAGGTACAGGAAGGGGGGAAGATAACTTTCAGAGGATGAAGATGGAATAGATAGGATCCAAGAAGGAATAACAATTCAGATGGTTGTGTCAGTGCTGGTTAGAAATGTCCAAGGAAGATTTGAATGTTTATTTTTACACAAAAGCAAATTGTCTAAACTTCTCTCTGATTTTTTTTAGACCTGATTAAGACCCCTCTAGAAAGAAGGGAAAGAGGTCTGGCCAATTGTGAAGTCCAGTAAAACCAGTCCTCATATCTTTAATATGTTGATTGTTAATTGTTAATCACCATCCTGTACCACACATGATTGCACTTTCCTTTGCTAATTTTTCATAGGCTAGCTTGCAGGCTGTATGTATCCTAACCTCGAGCATATCCCACAAATAACTACCATTTTATCATAACTACAATGTCAATAATATTGATTTCTATGCTGTACCAGTAAATAGGTTCTTACTGAAACCGTGTTCTTTAAGGATTTTGAAATCCTATTTTGCTGTAGGAGAAACTATCTGACCTGGATGTCAGAACACCCCAACAGCTATGTGTGCTATATGTCACAGAAATTATAAAGGCAATTTTGTTCTTTCTCAAGGTTATACTTCATACCCCTTCTGTTTACTAAAGCTCTTACAAATATGGAGTCCCATGAGACACATAAAACTGACTTTTTAGGAAAACGACCTCAGTAGGAATTGGAAGTCCCAATTAGACACCCTTACACAGAGTGTTGTGTTAAAAAGCAATCCCTATTTTTATAACACAAGGTGACTCGAGACCTTGTGCGGAGTGTCTTCAGGGTGCCCAGTGGGTCAAGGGACCTTTAACTGATTCCCAGCGTAGCTAATCGATCCAATAGAAGCAAATTCACACTTAATAAAACTCAGCAGATTGTGTAGCGGAATGACCCATCTGAGACTAGGGAACAAAAATAAGATTATCCCAAGGATTTTGTGACTTGAGGCAAAACATTGAGCTAACACTTATTCTGTAATTTCTGCCTTCTTCTATTGCTAATACATAGACTCCCCTTTGCTTCGGGTTCAGTGTAGTCTTCTGCCAATTGACTTTGTTATTCAATGCTTGATGGGCTGAATGGCCCCCTTTGATTTGTAGCCTTTTGTAAGTTGTTGCTGCAACTGGGAAATGTATATGAATAATTGTGTGCATCGGTGAATATCGTGAAATGGGATGTAAATTAAAGAACTTTTTCAATCAGGTTTTCTGCAGCATTCTATCAAAGGGCATATAAACTGTCTGGGTGGCAGGGATTAAACTGATCATTACTGAGGACTAAAACAAAAAGGAACACAGTCTCATCAGCTTTACAGATTACAGTAGTATTGCAGGTTTCTTGCAAAAGACTGGGAGAGATGACAAACACCTCCACTAATCTAACTCTCCACGACGACATACTAAAATCACTAGAAGAATCGCAATCTGCTTTCTGCTTCTCTCCTCCACCCCATCTCCACCTTTGCAGCGCCTCACCCCTCATGGGGATCCCACTGTAGCTAGCTGGTCCTACAGCCCTCAGCTATGCAGGTTAAGACAAAGCGTAGGCGTTTCCTGATTGGGCAATGTTATTCCTCTGGAACTTGTAACGAGCTTGTTTGATTTTGTTTTTGTGTCACCCCTGTGGCACATCGCTACAGTGCGATAAGGCGTTCGCCCGAGTGTCCAGGTGAAACTGAGCGTGTCCAGTGCTGCTGAAGATCCACTGTCAGCAGATGGGGGTTATCACTGGCAGGTGCTGGGCTTTAACACACTCTGTCTTCCCTCATTAGTCACACACACCACACTCCGTGCTGATGGAAACACAGTAAACAGCTTCACAGAACAAGGCTCCAACAACACTTTTCTTGGGTCAACCCATTACAGAGGACAGGTCAGGTTCATGACTCTACAAATAACCACAGATAATAAATGCTGGGCTTTCAAACAGCACAAAGCTATGATTGACTACGGGACTAGGTGGCTAGTTTAGAAAGCTGTGAAGCAGGACCAGAATAGTGTATGTTCAGGCATGGGTTTGAGCAGCTCAGTTATTCTGTACAGCAGATTCTATGATGCGGTGCTATAAGGTCAACAACCCTAAATATCAAATTATTTCCATTATTTTGTGTCACAGTGTGACATGCCTTTGAACACCGTGATTTGCACTGCTGCTTCCTTCTTTATATTGGGGACATGTGATCAGATGATGATACATCTTTGGTTGTGGTCTCAGTTTGAATGTGTAAGTACAGGCTTGTAGAAGGAATTTAGCAAAGAGCAACAATAATTAGGCATTGATTTCGAAGAGTCATATGTCATATGAATTACATTTGGGACTTTGAAGGCGTTATTATTGAATCTTTGATTTATATTCACAGTGGTGTTTGCGGTAGTTTTCGTTTGAGTTTTAATTAGGTGAGGGACATTCTTTTTATACTTGCGGGCAAATAAAATATTTTGTCTATAGACAAAGTAATCAATAATGTCTTGTGGGATGTTCATCTGTAATATATTTTAAGTTGGGAAGAAAAGGTTTACGGTTAAATTCATGAAACAGGTCATTGTTAATTAACATTTTAAAATGGGTTTTCCAAACAGAAGATAAAGTCCACTCCTTTCCTTCAATCATATGGCCTGTGTTTCTGTTATAAACAGTGTTTCTTTTCTGAAGCAGGGAAAAGCTGATAAAAGTTCCATCTTAATCCAGGGTGCTTGACCCCCTGGGTATCCGGGGGCGTGTAATGAGTTCCCCAGCTGAGGCCTCGGATTCCTCCAGTCGTGTTTCCCTGCTCGGAGGTGTGCTTCACTCTCCGTTTGTTTGTTTGGGAAAGATTAGTAACATTAAATCCTTACAACATCCTGGAAAAGTGCTGGAGGTTCTTTTGAGGAGAACAGAGAAGGGCTCTTGTCCCAGGACCTGAGGTTGTTTCAGTGTTTCATTTTACAAACTTTCGTTTTCAGGGGACAGCTTTAGGTCCAAGACTCGTACACTCCAGATGGGTTTCATGGATAAGTAGCCTTTAGTGTTAACATGTACTGTAGTGTCCTCGCGTGGTTTCTGCAGGCAGCAGGTTTTAAAGGACATGGTAGGACCTTTCGACCTGCATGGTCAGCTTTTGTAATTGTAAGTGATGTTGAGTTAGGAAAAAAAACATGTTATATCTGTACACAATCTAAGCCTGTTGCTTCATATTGAGGTAAGCTTCTTACTGTATTCTGTCCCAAAATGGTGATTTCATAGCTGGTTGTTTAATGAAGTGACCAATAATAAATGGAAATTGCAGAATCCTCCAGATTGAAGTAACTTTAACGCCAAGATACATGTATTACATAGTTTTCTGGATCAAAATTTTAATGTCAGTGCTCCCAGCTTTTTTATTTTAATTGTCTGAAGTTGGCAGTTGCGAGGTTTTAGAAGGACTTTCAGACTGCGTTTTGGTATCCATAGTTGAGCTTCATGAGATTTGGAACATTATCTTTGCTCACTGGCACTTTGCTTTGGTCTTAATGATTAGTCTATTTAATTAGAAAGCTTTCAGGGTGGACATTACAGAAACACTAACTTTATATATATATATCCCTTTATTTACACAAGCACTTTCTTTCACAAAAAATATGTAAGAGAATGATAATACATGGAATTCTAGAAATAATCTTTAATGTGGGCAATCGTTTTGTGTCTTTTCCCCCTTTACTCTGGAAGTGCCTTCTCTTAGATTTAAGAACCATTTTGAAGCCTTTCCTTGAGCTTGGCAGGTGTTCAGAAGGGGAACCATCCTTGCATTTCAACAGGAAGCAGATGCAGAACGCTAATTCCCAGTGGCGGGCAGACGCACCACGCTCCTGGGGAGAGTGTTATCAGCATGGCCAGGCTGTCTACACTGTGAGACTCCCCATTCGCTTCCTCAGCACCTAATGAGCAGTCCACCTGATAATCACGCTGCTGCAGTGCCTATTTGATCTGTGTGTGAGGGTCGGCCAGGAGCCTAAACATGTCTCGCAAGGCTCGTTTTACATTTGTTCTTGAATTTGTACTGCGGAGATAAAGGCCGAAGTGACATGGTGCAGGGGGGAGCCAAATGTCATCAGGAAGCTCAGTGGGGCACCTTACCTTGCGTCAGTCCTCCTGGTGTCACTGTCTTTGTAGAGGCCCTGCAGTCTGGCGAATAACTTTCTGTTTCATTGGCTGCAGTCTCTGAGTATGAGGGTGAGGGATAAAATGAATGAAATCTAGTGGAAGAAGTATGTGACTCTAAACGTGGGTTGATGGCATATCTTTGGATATATATGTCATACATTCTATTCATACACACACGCCGTACTTGTGCTTAGGCAATGCTGTCTCTTGTCTTGCGTCATTGGATAACTCCTGGTTGTGTTCCTTGCTGGTTTTCGTTACTTTACTTGATATAGGTGGGAAATAATGTGAGCTCTTGATGGCTTCCTAATAGTTAAAGATAACTTCATGCCACTAAAAATAGAAAGAAATGTGCGTTTTGTTTTATTTTTGCTGTGCTGACTGCTTCATTGAGACCACACCTACGGCTTGGAGTGCCTTTGTGAGCGAGTGAAGTCACAGCTTTTGATGTCGCCCACTTACCTGCAAGACCGTCATTCCCAGCAGGTCCTGCTGTCCTAAATAGAGCCAGCTGTGCTGTAGAGGCTCTGCAGTGCGCAGTGTGGGTCTGGCAGCAGCTTCGCGATTAACAGCAGGACAGTAACACTGCATCTCCACATGATTCCCTTCGTGATTGGCTTCACATCCTGAGGCTGCTGATGTAGACAAGACTCATGAAGCACATCAGTGTGAAATCCTATTTAAAAACTTTGCCTGCTTTCCATTAAAAGTTTTCATGCATTAAAATAGCAATGAAATGCTATTTACATACCAGCGGTATATCAAATCAAATCAAATATTTGTTTCTCTTTTCTTTAACATAATGTCATCATTATGATCAATTACAATTTGTGCAACATAATTTCAATGACAATAGATACAAGTACTGTACTTATCCATATAGCTGTGGACATTTGTGTACATTAAAACAGAACCCCTTAAACATATACAGGTGAGTGGTCCTGTTCAACTACATGAGAGAGTGATAATCTTTTGCTAAGTTAACATTTTGGCCAGGAGTAGTCATCAATGTAATAAGCTTTGTTCTGAAAGTTGTATTTCCAGTTTACCTACAGTAGTTCATTTTCTGATAATATTTGACAGAAATTGAACTACTGTAGGTTAAAACAATGGGGAAAAGAAGAGTACTTGGTTCCTGTTGTAACAGCTTTTGGAGCTTACAAATGTGTTCTGACTTTGAGAAAGAAATGTAATCACTATAAATCACATACTGACAAAATAATTTTTCTTTCCTTTAGCCCGTGTCCAGAACAGGGAATGGGAGATGAATTCAACCTCATGGATCATTCTGACTTGTACATCCTAGACTTCAGTATGTGATCTTAATCTTTTTCTACATACTTTTCCTGTTTACATCTTTTGATCTTCAACAACCCACCCCCCAGCCCTCACAATTTTGCTTTCCCGGCAATAAGATGGGATTTCTGGTAATAACACGATACACTTTCAGCACGGAAGTTGGGAATTAGATTCAGATTTCAGGGATGGCAGGAGATCCATACCTTTTAACTTTCCCTGCCTTCATTTACATACAGTACTGTACCCTCGGCCCTTTTAAAATATTTCTGCATGTTAAGCTCCCCCTCCATCACAAAGCATTTGTGAATGATCAAATTTGCTAAGGCACTCTGAACATCCATGCAGTGAATCCATGTATCAGCTAACAAATTCTTGACGCAGGCTGAAAGACAATCTAACACAAGGTGCAACGAGGTGGAAAAGGGACAAGCCATCTCTTTGATCTGTGTTGAGGTTAGCGTTTTTAGTTGAGGGTATTAATGAATTCCTCCGACTCACTTCACTTATTGGTAAACCGCCAGACTTCTGTTTCAGTCTTATTATGTGGTATCCACATGGGTGTGATCTAGAAGCAACATTCCCTAAGTCATGTCTGTGAGTAGGTCATAGAATAGCTTGTCCTTGAATCTTTGGTAAAACACCTGTTTGTCTCATATTAAAGAAAAAAAAATCTTTGAAACAGAGTATATGGAGAAACTGAGTGATATTTCCTAGATCTAAAGAATCCCGTTCTCTGTAAATTATCTGTAACCAAGGCAGGGTATTGAGTTGTCAGGAATGACAGCACCACTAGATAGACAGCAATTTGCTACAGTACATAAACGAGAAACACTGGAGTCACCATTATGTACGATATAACCTAAGCTTTTGTTTTTGAGTGGTTTAAGTAATTCTGTGTGTTGTTTTGATACCAAAGGAATTCTTGTTGTTCATTGGCTTCACTTAGTAATCCATAAGACTGCAATAAAAATAGCCCTGACATCTTACTGTTCTCTTTTTTTTATTAATAAGGCCCCAATCTGAAGACATTATGCAAATTAGCTGTTATTCAGTACAGTCTGGACCAGTCTGGGCTCCCACATGACATCAGGTAAGAATTGTTCCCCTTTGGTTAAGGCATTTTTTTTCTCATTAAAAACAAGCCTATTGGTGGTTTTCCTTATTTATTTAGAAAAATGTTTGGTCTCTTTAGGCCTCATAAGCTCTCCAGGAGGTTATTTATTCAAAGTGAAAGGAGTCTCTGACTACGACCGTCAACAAAAGAACTGAATGTAGTTCTAACTTAACCTTCCCTCACTGAGAGCAGGGATAGAAACTGCATTGCTGCCTTAAAGAAGCTTTTAGGTGCTGTGGCAGAGGGTGAGGTCAGAGTCCAATTCACTCTGTGTTGCCCTTATTAAGGGTTCTCTAACCTGACTGAGGGGCACCTACTCCCTCTTACCCCAGAGCTGCTGTGCACACAGTGAGTGTGAGGGAGTTTGAAACCAGAGCCATAGATAACAATCTGAGGCCTGACCTTTCACCTCTCATCAGGTCACCACTAGACCTCGTCAGCAGCCAGCTTCTGGTTATCGGATTACAGCAACTTAATGTTAAAGCTTTCCAGAAATGTTATGGGGACGGGGAGGCAATGCGTCTAACCCACCACAGATAGTTATTCAACAAGCAAAGTGGTCACTACTCAACAGCTTCCCCCTGTGTGTTTTTCTTCTGCTGCGCCATCTTTGAGTTGTTTATCAAGGCAGGGAAAGAAAACAGACTGCACCTCATGACGCAGAATAGTTACACATCACGAGAAAGGACACCCACTTCGGCAGAAATGAAACCTAAGGGTGCTTTTTGTTGTTGGGGGAAAACGTAACCCCAGACTTGTTCATAGATATTTACTCTAAGTCTTTTTTCTGCACGTGCACACACCCAAAACATTTTGTATTGATGATCATGATATCGAGTCTTCTTTAATGATTAGAAGTGCAAAATCTCTCACAGAAAGCAGTAACAGAGAAGAAAGTCTTTTTTATTTCATCTTGTCTGGCCTCATTCTTATTCTATTCTTTGTTTTCTTCTACATCATTTTCTCCCTCCTGTAGTACTATGGTATTTGCCACGTGTGAGTTATTAAGGTTCTCTATGTGCAAAACTAAGCTAAGATGCTTAAGAACACGAGGTTACAAGTAAGAGGCTGCTGTTATGCTTGTCTGGAGCTCACATGGTTTTTCAGTAGCTGAGCCAGCAATCCAGCATGCCAGGATATCAACTTCAGCAACATGGCAGGGTAGCTGGCTCCAGACTCCCACCACTCATTGCGTAAAGAAGTGCCTCCTGTTCTCAGTTTTTAATGCACTTCCATGTAGTTTCCACTTGTGTTCTCTGTTTGTGTTTCACTCTGAGGAAGTCCACCGGATTGACTTTATCAATGCCTTTGAGGCATTTTTAAATACCATGTTGAATCATCCATCTATCCGTGTTCTGTTAGCTTCATCTAATCCAGAGTCGTGGGCAAGCTAAAGCTTATCCCCACAAGCGATGGGTGCAAGGTGGATACACCCTGGATGACACATCAGTCCATAGCAGGGCACTCCCACACCAGGGCCAGGTTTTCCAGAAGCCAATAAAGTAGGTTTTCCAGTATGTCTTAACACTGTGGGAGGAAGCCACATGAACATAGGGAGAACTTAAAAACTCCACGCAAATAGCACTTCAGAGCCCAGGACCCCAGTAAAGCACTGTATCACCATACAGGTACCACCCTACTTGTACAGTATCTTTTTTTCTTCAAGGCTAAAAAGGTCCATTTATTTTAGCCTGTCAGTGTAAAGTTATTCAAATTCTCTGGACTAATTTCAGAGCTGTATTATCTTTTTTGCATCTTGGCACCAAGTTTTACACAATGTTCTAAATGAGGTCATAGTAGTGCATTGTACAGTTCTAATGTAACATGACTTTTCTTTGTACTGTTAATTAAAAATGCCTCTGGAAAACCAAAGTGCATTAACTGTGATTCATTTCCACCAAAAACGTTTTCCCAGAAAGTTGAGCCAGGAGTTTGTCTACAGTGGGACAGACCTTTGGACCTTCATTCTTAAAAGATTACATGTTATTTAATAAATGCAGTATATGTAGGGTTTGACATTCTAGACTGCAGGTTGACAAGAAAACACGTCAGACATAATGGACATTCCAGTTATATGTAAATAGAATCTGTCTTTGTAGACTTTGGCGTGGTCAAAATGCTTTAGTGGGATCTAGAGCACTCCTTTGACTTTAGCACTGTTCAGCTGAACTGAGATGACCTGACACATGGTGCTCCTGGTAGTCGCGGTAAACAGTTTAGGTGCTCATGTTTTGTTCTCCCTCTCTCCTGCAGGTGGGAGCTGACAGCTATGACAACTAACAGCAACATCAGCCGACCGATTTTATCCTCTCATGGCTGAGTCCACTCATCTAGACCTCGTGGTCTTGCTGGCCGCACAAAACCCAAGCAGGACTTTTGATTATCTGTAAATTGTAGAGCCAGGGTGTGTTCACGGGGAAAAATTGCTAATTGCTCTTCAGTTACGGAAACTTACAAAAATGCAGTACAGATTTTCTACATGGATCCATCTGGATTTCACTTGGACTGTTCCAATGTTCTCAAACTGCAGAAAAAGTGCCCATTCTGTTTGTGTTTTAGCATCCCTTTGATCTATAGACACTGTGCGTTATGCATCTACAGTATACATTGTGTCTCCTCTCGCCTACAAATCTCAATTTTAAAACCATTGTTTTGTTTATTAAGGGCTCTAAAATTTGTATGGTTGAATAAAAAGAAGTATGAGGTGAAAATGACTACTGAAACAAATAGGTTGAAGAGCATATATCGAATTCAGTATTTACTTTAAGGAAGGTTTTTAACATTCTATCGAGAGAAAAAGGCAACACTTCTCGTTTCCTCCCTTTTCTCACAAGCATCAGCATATTCTCAAAAACCGCAGGGTTCTGAGATTGAAGGATCAGCGCCCCCTCCCAATAACCAGTACATGCAGTTGATTAATTTCATTTTGTAGACACAGATAGTTACTTCTTTAGACTGGAAAACTGCACATACCTTCTTATTGGATTGTTTTGTACATGCTTGAGGCAAAATCTTTCCAGTGCTGGGTGGTCTTCCTTTTCTATTAACCATATAGCATATTTATGCCAGCATTGGGAAATGTGTCTTGGGTGCAAAATATCACCTCAACTTGCATGAAATCTGCACATTTACATCAGTGTTTTTTTTTCTGTTCTGCACTGAGCACTGCAGCCACTGCTGAAGGAAATTACTGCTGTCCTTTCGCCTTCCTGTCCAATGCCCATGATGTTCTTGAGTCACATTTTTTCCCCACAGTAGCTCATCACATCCGCTGTATGACGCTGAAGAGGAACAGCAAAGAAGCACCCTGCACATGCAGGTATATGACCCACATCACAGCGATGCATGCTACCATGTGTTCACCGAGTGTACAGATCTGCCTTGGGTGTACTGTACCTAGAGTATTTTTATATGCAAACAAAGTACCTTGTAACCTTGAAGTGTTATCTTCTTTTAATACCTTTTGTGAGGCTTAATAAGCTGTATGTCTAGCAATCCTCTTTTGTAAATTTTAATACCAAATGTTTTAATGTGAAATTCACCACAGAAGACTTTATTTTTAACAAAGGCACTTTGAGGGAGCTGGCACAGTACTGTATAGTACTGTATTGAGGTGCAGCCCTCATTGAACTGGTATTTCTTTGGGTTTGTTTTTCCAGATGTTTTTGTCAAAGAAGTGCTGGATTTCTCCACGCCGTTGAATTTAACCACCTACTATAGCAGTGTACCTACTGTAGCACCTTATTAATCAACAATAAGATATTGTGTTAAGACTGCAGTGACTCTACTGTTGTCCAAAGTGTGTGTTTTTTTTTCCATGTTGCTTAGTACGTTAAATCATCTAAAACGCTAGTCACTCATTTTGGATTACACAAATTAAACACCTGAGAGAATGGTGGTTATAACACAATCTACTGTGTGTTTTCCTGAAGCGATGCATGCATCAGAAAACAAAGAAATGCTACAACTCTAATGATGGTTTAATAGGTAAAGGTATATATAATAGCACTCAGACAACGACTGTTATGTTCAGCTGACTAGAATTCATTCATTTGAAGTTACAATTCAGCTGGAGTGTCATAAATAAAATGTTCAACCCCATGAGTTTAAAGTAAAAAGTAGTATTGGACTGATCATCTTGTGGGGCCAAATACAGAAAATGAGGAGAAAAACAGATATTCCCTGCACCGATGAAGAGAAAAATAATGTAAAAATATGATAGTTTCCATCAAATTGTGTTATTGACTGATTTTAACAGATGTTTTTATTAATGGTGTTTTGGCGATGTGAGGGGTAAAAACTATTTCTTTGCAGGTTCTGGCATGTATGGAATATCATAACACTTCTGCTAGCAGTCACATGAGTGTTCAATTTCTAATTTGTGGTCTGCTTCCCTGGAGACTGGCATCCTTTACAGGTCCTTTAATTTTTAATATACAATCATAATTATGTAAACCGTGTTAACATCCAGTTACTAAAATGCCCATTCAAGGGCTGTTAGTAATTGGGTGTTAAGTAAATGCAAGTTCTTTTCTCACCAGAAAATTAACTTTATGTAGTTCGAATAATCCCTAGCAAACGTGTTCACTGTATTTTTTTTTAGATCACTAAACGAGGATATGTGTATTTCACCTGCATTGTACGGCCCAAAGTGTGGAGTGAAAGTATGTAGTTTATAATTTTTTTAAAGGTGTGCAAAACTTTACAAATGAAAAAAAGAAGATTGAACTTTTTGTCAAACAACTGTATCAAATATCGAATAAGAATGTTCCAAATAAATGGTTGAAGGCAGCCTTATGACCACTGTGCACACGTGTGCTTTACTGTAGGGCTCACCAGTGGAATTTTATGAATAATTAATTTAATTTATACAGTGCTTTTCAACCCAGGGGATTCCAAATCGGTTTCCATATTCAGTGGGAGCAACATCATCCACCGCTGAAGAGTATTCCTCACCTAGGTGACACAGAAACCATTCTGTACCAATTCTGTAGCCCCACTGCACACCAGATCAGGTGGGTGAAGGAGTGAGAAATTGCACGTGGTGTTTCAGAACAGCTTTTCACATTAACAGTGAAATAAAATAAGTACCTCCTGTCACAGAATTAAAAAAAAGTTGGTTTAGTTTTTACAGCTTTACAGTTACTGGAGTCAAACAGTACACATCCCAATATTTAAAAGGGACCGAACATTAATTTATCACATCTCTAAAATCTCTTTGAGGAAATAATAGTTCAGCATTAGGCGGGGGCAATTTCTTTTAAGACTTCATGGGTTCAGTTCTTACATTGGATTTTACATAAAAAAATGAATAGACTAAAACTTTGAGATTACTAAAATGAATATCATTCATTTTGTTTGTCTGTTTTTTAGATTTTATTTTAATAGGCTTTTTTGCTGGGGTGTGTCAGGGGGTCATTTTTCACAGGATAGACCATAATTTAAGATTATCTTTCAAGGTAAAAATGCAAACTGAATTTAAATGTTCTAAAGCTCATCTTCACAAGTATGTCATTATTCTGGAAATCTCAATGGAAAACAAAGTTTGTGCTTATTTTCATAATACAGTTAATCAACTTGCCATGACAGTGGGCTCTTTAGGTTGTGGTAATGTAATGAATGCAGAGTAAACATACACTACTGCCCTATATCTTGTTTTGTTCAGACGGTAATATTCAGCAGAAATACTAAAAAATTGTTTTCCTAAATTGGTGGTATGGAATGTATTAACATAATGTGTGGAATTTTATGAGACTTTTGAGCTATTGGTTTGAGAGTCTAGATTAATACTGCACTGATGTAATAATTAAAGTTAAATCTTTAATAACAGAGTTTCTGAAGTTCAGTACTGTGCCGAGGGACAGGAACTTATTCCGTGGATAATAATAATAAGGAACTTAATTATTTACAACTCAAACCATTCACATCACAGATATCAACAGGTATCAAGTATATACGATTCTGTCTCAGATTTACCTCAGTCTGCACATGCATGAATTTTACAGTTTTATTTCATCTACAGGAACAAATGCCTATAGGTGAATTTATCCTTGATCCATCATTGCTTTACAGATTTTGCCTTTTGAAACTCTTTTTGCGATGTACAGTACACAGTGTTTCTCATCAATGTGTGGCTGTTGATTTGTATTCTTATTGGATGGTACTGTATATACAGTTATGAGGGTTATGTGAATTAAGCAGAAACAGAAAGCAGCTGTTTGAGTGCTGGAACCAGATCAACTATTTTATATTGATACAGCAACAGCTTATAAATGGGAAACAGTAAAGAGGTTCTCAAAGAGTAGACAAACACAAAAGACCAAGGGAAAATGAATAGCTAGCTTCTCTAAGGCTTTGTGTTTGTTGTGTGCTTTTAGTTTTTCATAAATATATGATTTATCTGCTAATAGTAAGCCAGTTTTACCGTGCTTAATTATAAAAGTATACAAAATATAAACAGCTGAAATGCTTTTTTTGCTAATAAAATAAATGCGCAAGAAGCTGACTGACTTGATCCTAATCCAATTGTCTGATCCAAATCCTGATGGGCTTCATTCTGAGTTTTGTTGGAAAGGACCATTATGTTGTGAAGTTACCTTCAACTGAACCAACCTAACCATTAAGTTGTCTTTAGGATTTTGACCAGCGTCTGCAGTATAGCTGCCATTGTGAAGGCAAAGGTTAAGTAGTATGTCATCATGACTCCCTGGCCCCTGACTGCATGCAGTATCGGGTTTCCAAGTGATGTCCACTTCGGCGTTTTACTTTAACCTAATAATACCGGTGTTGAATAATTGCAAAGCAATGCTGATTGAAATAAGTGGCAAAAATATACTTAGCTACTGCCCTCTTGGGGAACACCATTAAAGCGTGAAAAAAATCTGAATACCAAATTGACCATAAAAACTTGAAAAAGCTGTAATATAAGCAATCACCTGCAGCAACTGTACAGGAGTGGAAGCTTGATCAAAGAGCCTACCAAAGACATTGAGTCGTTTCAACCCCTTACCTGCCAGTCATATTGATTACTGGCCTTGTTTTCCCTTTAATTTCCCAGTTTTCCTCTTCAGTAGACGGGGCTGTATTATCAGAGATATTCGTCTCGGGGCAGGCTGGAGACAGCCACTCTGTCTGGCCAGGCAGATTTCACACTGGGCACAAGCAGTAGGCATAAATGCGCCGTTAGAAAATGGCAGACCATTTCAGAGGAACAGTTTGTTCATGTCTATCACCACGCTAAGAGCCAGAGTTGTGCTATAAAGTGAATGTTATCTCCAGTGTTAAGTGCAAGCTGCAGACGGGAGGTCACATAGACTGGCCAAAGAGACACGTTGTCCCATTTCAAACACATATACAATACAGCACAGAGGAAGTCAGTCCGCTGTTGGCCAGTCAAACCCCAAAGAGAGTGGTCATTTCAAGTGTTAATACTGAAAAGATTTGCTGGAAAATGGCTTTTTCATTTCCCTTTTGGTTTAAAAAGCAATTCCTGGTCTTGAAAGCCAAAAGGCAGGCATGTTTTAGCTAATGCATTTCATATAATGATACATATTGGTTACTGCAAAGCAATTAGTGTTAAGAAATTGAATGTTGTTTTTTTAGGGGTGCAGAAAGTTAACCTCTGTTCATGCGTGACGTCCTGTGGACAGATGGGCAGTTCAATTGAAGATTTAAGGAAGTTGGAAATCATTTACTGCTATTTTTTAAAGCTTTTAACACTTTATAGACAAAAAAAAATGATTACTTCTCAGTCTGTCTGAATTCTTTCAAATGTATCATGTTCATTTTTCCTCCATTCCTTCCTGGCATAAAATTTGCAGGAACATTTATACTCTTTGAATTGAAAAATTAACCATTGATAACCTAAGTTATTATCACCTTGTATGCCTATAAACTTTCTGCTGCTTTGAAGTGTTGCCACGTTAACTGAGATATTGTGATCAATAATATGGCTACCAGTAAATATTATGACTTCTTCAAAAATATTCTAATTGCAAATTTGACGTCTTTTTACCATACAGTAGCAATAACAGAGTAATAACATTGACAACACTGATAAAATGATAATTTCACAAACTAATAACTCACACAACAGTACAGGATAAGCAAGCATGGTTTATCAAATTATTCATGATCATAAAATATTAAAATCCATACAGGTAATGACAGATAATGCAAATGAATGTCTCTATGGGCTCACCATCTTCTGCAATGACCTAGGAAAGAACTAGTGAAGTCTAGACATCCTCTGAACCATCCAGTCATTATTTCTTGGTAATGTGCCTGCTGTCCGATATCTTTCAGCACAGAGCACAACACCTGCACCTTAAGGTTCACTGACACCAAACTACAGGGCAAACTTGATTCTGAGACACCTCTTCTATAACAGACTCATAGATTATAACTGATTAGGGGAGATGGACTGCTATGGTGTAGAAAAAAAAGGATTTAAAAAATATTTTTAAAGAAGTTAATCAGTAGGAATAAAGCATTATTTTTTAGTCTAATACAACTAAGAATTCATTAGTTTTATTGTTGTTTTAGTATTAAGTGCATGTGCATGCTCTATTATGTGAATCTGCAGGGTTTTTGCTTAGATATCCAGAGGATAACAAGATATCAAACCCAGCTCAAATAACTCACTAGATACTCAATTTAGCTGTGTGTGTTAGCTCCCCGACAAAACTAAAGATCTGGTTGCAAAGTTTCTATTTAAATACGTGAATGCAAAGTTAAACACAAATGAGCTTTTGTTTCTTCCAAGAAAGTAATATGGACATTTAAACATGTACAGTAGTATATTTTCGGTCACATATTGCACATTACCAATAGTATAGTAGTAAAGATTCTGCCATTCATTTATAATGAGCATTTCTGTATTTTGTGTTTATTATTATTATTATTATTATTATTATTATTATTATTATTAGTATGTTAACTGTTACTACTTATGACTACTGCTAATCATCATAAAGTGTGAAGGGAGACTTTCGAATGCGAAGCACTTCCCAGACAGGCTGCGTAGAGCGCTATTTTGACGCAAGCATCATTCAGCGTACTACTAGGAATGTTTTTATCACTAGTCCGTGTGAAGTTAAATGTATTACTCAGCTGCCTTGTGCAAGTTGCTTTGATTTCTTATCTTACTTTTAGAAGTCTATTCTGCTTTTTACGACGCACTGCAAGGGACTCGACTCACCTGCTGAGCTGAACTGGTTTTCTCTATACACGGGGTACAAACCTGCCCCTCCTCAATCAGATTACACTACAGAGAGCACCGTGCGGTACCTCTGGAGAAGTCTGCATGTCTGATTGACCTTTATTCGGTGTGAGCGAATGAACCGACTTGTGAAGAAAGCGGCAGGAAGGCGTGGCACGGCTCCAGGGTCTGGGGTTCGGTTCTGGACTGGGGAAGGGTGTCATTCTGTCAGGAGGTATCATATTCTCCAGGGGTTTTTCCTCCAGTGATTCTGCTTAGAGGGGCGTCCTGTCCAGGCAGTTGTCCAGTTTTGTCTCCCAGACTGTAGGTTATTTTGAAAGTTGCCAGAAATCAGCGCCTTTCCAGTAAAGGCTGGAAGAGCGGCGTGTTAATGAAAGGTAAATACAAATAATACATGAACCATCCTAACTGAACCAGTCACTTAAAATTAACGAAAGTTTCCATATGCTGGGTAGGCCAACCTTGCAAAATAATCTCGGTTGTGATAGCAGAAACAGAGAATAGACAACATTTTAAGGAGGCAGTGAATGGAATCCATCCTCGGCAATGAGTATTATTGTGTCCCGTGTGCCTGCTCACGACCCGTTCTGGACAGTCCGTGCGTGAACTTTGTTGATCTCCACGCTGCAAAAATAAACAGCCTTTTATTTTCGTGAGGAGGCGATCACTTGTCTCAACTCCTGTTTGGACGCTTGTCTCTACATGGTCTACTATGACTGATCATTCTGTGGTCAATTCTTATTTGTCGCCTTGTACTGTGGTTCGTGCTTCAGTCTTAAACTAAAAAAAAAGATAACAAAGGGACACAGTAAAACAGAACCGATCAGAAAGGCGATACGACACATTACTCAGATAAACCGTCAGCAATTAGAAAAAAGTGAATGGGTAAATCACAGCTATCGAGTCGTTTTGTGGTACCACCGTTCTCAAATGCCCAGACCCAACTTTTATTGGCAACTCTGGCCGTGTGGTTGCCCCCCTCTGGGGCAGTCTGAGTGGAGTTATTTTTAGAGTCCGCGTTACTAAAAATATCCCCTCTCTTGTTATTGCGTCACAACAAGTAACACTAGCCGTTTTCTGACCCGTTTTTTTTTTCTTTCACACTGTCAGTGTTTAGAACAAAGATATCAGGTTAACCCTGTACGGGGATATAAAAGGAAGCAGAGGACGGAGGCAAAGCACAGTTGCTTTGAGATAGATCTCTTAGAAAGGTAAGGACTCTGCCAACAGCGCCTACTCGCGTAGTCTTGAATCATTTGTGATGCATGTGTCTGCCCTTTTGTGTTGATCTTTAAAACAAGAGAAAATGCTTTTGCCCAGCATATTTTAAACCATGCATTTTTCTGTTTGTTTGTTTTTTTTGCTAATATTACATTTCTGGCATTTTGTAATGCTCGTTTTGTCGAGATTTTTATCTTTAATCATCATTGAGCTGTTTGCTTTCAGCTTTTTTTGGAACTTCATTCGCTAAGCTTTTGTTTAAAAAACTTGTCCTAAATGTACAATGTGAGTGCACAACTCTTTGGTCAGGATAAACACCCGGATCTGACTTTTGATTCCATGTTTTAGTGTCACACAAGAGGGGAAATCATGACGGTTTCCTGCGAGTACTGTAAAGAGGCTCTCGGTGCCAGACCCGGGACTTTCTCCTGCAGCTCGCCCTGCTCTAACGCGGATGCAAGCATCACCCCGGGGCTTCGCTTCAAGCGGTTCAGGTCAGTAGCTCCTCTCCACGGCAGTGCTTTACTGCTCGCCTTGCCATTTCTGCGCCGATGCGCTCCCTCTAGAGGGGGTTGTTGTGTTGCTTTCATTCAGCGAGTAGGAGCAGCGTGGGTTTGCGGGAAAAGGCGCTTTTCGTAACATGAAGGGATGGACCAAATTCAATACTTTCATTTCGTAATTAGCTCTATAGAACTGAATCTACAATGCATTTTAAACACGCTTCCCACACACAATCGTACAGGTTAGGATTGTAGTAGGATACCTTTGATGAATGGGGCAAATGCATTTTAAGTACAACAGAAAAGCAACTTGTATAATAAGCTGCTACGAGTTAAACTCACACACTCTGGAGCAGCAGCAGCAGAAGCAAAGCCAGGCACGTTGATTACTGCTGGTGACGATTCACAGATTGCTTTCCCCCTCAGTGACTAAATAGCACTCTCATGCTGTTATCCACACTGACATTTTGAATAGCTGTAATCAATGTTGAAAATGAGAGAGATGGGGAAACTAACTGCTGTTAAAGCCCCAACTTAAAAATACAGAGATGCTGTGATTCAGAGCTCTCATCTCCTGGACATAATTGGGCAGAGACAGAGAGAGAGAGAGACCCCAGAAAAAAGCGTCATTCTCTGCCCAGTGACGCCTGATACCCAGCTTGGAGGACATCCTCTTTATATGGCATCAAGGCGGACAATAAGTCCAGCCTCTTCTCTGACACCCACTCGGTGCACTGCCTATAAAGTGTAGTGGTTCCCTCAAAAGGCCAGACAATTAACTTGTGCAGCTGGGTATAGTACTTCAGTTTACATTTTTCTTTTCTTTTTTTTTTTTGCTTCCCTCCCCACTCCTAGATGAATAATTTCCATGGAAACACGTTCTCCTAGCTTTCACTGAGAAAAGCG